TTGCTTCAGTGCTCCTCACCATATATGTACAGATGGTGGCATAACAATTGAATCAAAGCTTTTACTTTGGCTGCCCTGAGATGTGAGAACAATATTTGGAAGAAAGTAAAAGTAAAAAGATTAAGTGCTTATATTTATTTCCTAAATAAAATGCATAAACACGGTTTTTGTAAGTAGCAAATTTGACTAATGAGATTGGTCTGCAAAACCTTGACCACATGAGTAAACTTGTTAGATCAGGTGTTGAGATAAAATCTGATCTTGTGAGTCTTACAGAAGCAATGTATTTATTTGCTATACAGCAATATTCTGAAGAAGGCCATCTATTTGGTTACAGAAAAGTTTATGAAAGCCAAAATTGTAACATCAGGTAGCTACTTGTAAAGCCATTCAGTATAAATGCGTGATGAAGGGAAGAGGAGCTTGTGTAGTATTTAGTCGAGCCTGAGATCTCATGAGTTGGGATTTCCTGAAATGAAAGCAGCTGAGCACAGACAAGATTGAGACAGCAATTGAAAATGGAACCTGCTCAAGGGCAATTGCTAGAGCACGTGTTGTACCAATGCATCGCTGAAGGACAGTTTGCTAAGTGCATGCTGTGGCCACACAGGGCAGCTTTTTATCTGTCTTGCTTCCCATGCCACTGCTGCCATCATCTACAGAAAGAGATGTACGTACTTCTACTTCACAGAAGGTCGCAACAGGAACACAAGTGCAGAAGGAATCCACCAACCGCAGAGAACTGACACCTTTTTGGACATGGTATTTGCACTCCAGTTCTGAACCTCAACCTAGATATCCAATGGATGGCCAGATTAAAAGGAATAAAGTTGTCCACTACTTGGAGGAAGACGTTTGGCAAAAACCTTGCTGAAATTCAACAAAAACAAAATAGTATGTATCTTTCATTAAAAAAGCCAACAACCAACATGCAGCACTCACAAACCATTGGAGAACTCAAGTTACATCTCCACACCTGTATTGCAGAGCAGAATTCATTATATTTACACACCCACTGCTATTTTCTCTACTGGTCTGAAGCAATTCTCAGGTCAAAATAGCACTAATGTCTATGTACAGATACAGAGCTGATAAGAGTCTCAACATCTTTGAAACTCTTGGAAAAAGAAGGATATTTTCTTTTCATGTATCACAATATCCTGCCAGAGTTTGGGAACACTCTGTCTGGTGAAAATTCTGTCAAAAACGTTAATCTGAGTACTGATTCCAACAAGTCCCAAGAGGTGGGGTACTTTTTCCTTTTTTCAACAGCTTGTTACTTAACCCTAAGAATAAGTTCACAATATAATTACTTCTTTCTCTCACTCATAAACATGCAAATATAACTCCTTAATTGCAAGCATGCATTATATTAATGAAAGCTCCTTAAATATTGTTCTGAAATTGCATTTCTTATACTCTGATGGTATACATAAGGTAGAGGCTGTTTTACTGAGAGATGTTTGCCATAACTCTTACTTAATCTTCCAGTTCCTTTTTAAAGAACTGCCTCTTCTTCTGAAATTAAATTACTCTCTGTGAATCCTACACCACTCTAGCTTCTTTTGTTACATGTAGGTAATCTAGTATGCATAGGAAAAATTTTAAGTACTGAAACAAACTTTCCAGTCTCCTAACTAAATAATCTTAACAGCTATTTCTAGGCAGCAATACTAAAGCCTTTTAAATCAAAGGATTACTGTTTTGTAACTTGAGTTTGTACTCAAGATAAATTTTTCATCCTAAAACAACTGAATTTAAGAGAGGATTTTAAAAGCATTTTTTGGTAACAGCAAGGCACAGGTAGCTTCTCTACTTCATCTTAACAATTCATACCATTGAAGCACTTCAGTTGAGCACTACGTCAATTTCATATAGTTTTGTAATTATTAGTTTTTTATTAATTGTGGGTTTAAAACAGTATGCTGAGAAAGGATGCAATTAATACACGATGGTTTTGCTATCTAGATGAAAATATCCACGAAAATAAAAATGCAGTTAAGACACAGGTAGTTGTTTAACACATCTTGTGGCCTCTTTCTTAGCTGTTAGGAACAACCAACACACACAGTATAAGACTCCTACAGGCAAAGCTATTCATACCATTTGTTACTAGGGCTGTCCAACACTTGACAGGCAAAAATTCCTATTCCTGGACCAGCTACCTGGTTCAGACTTTAAAAGAGACTTATTTAAAACCCTCTACAATTCCATTTTGACAGAACCTAGCTGGACCCTGACATACAACTGAAGGACTAGCTAGAGGGAAAAGGAGGCTGATTTGACAAAGAGATGGGGTAGAACAGACCAGGAGCTGAGAACTAACACAGGGTAAGCCTGACTTTCCACACTCACTCCACTTACTTCATGCTTTTTCTGTAGGAAGGAATGGCAGAGACGACCCTGGCCTGAGAACACTCCCTGTCAGCCTGATCAGAAGCTTTAGGCACAAGCCACACCAGCACTATGGCAGCAAGGCAGAAAACAGCACCTTGCCATTTCACAGTTGTCATGGCAGCTTCAAGCCAGCAAGGATAATTACCACTTGGCTTTTAACATCCTGGTCCAAGCTGAATCACAGATACAAAAGGCCAAGTTTGGTAATCCCAGCTAAGTTCTACTTGTACAGCTATTTATATAAAGCACATGGCATGGTCAAAAATCTGAGGATATTCAGCCATGATGGTATTAATAGAACAAAAGAACATGGAGGCTCACTGAATTGTTTTTTCAGTTCTGCCTTTAGATGGACAGTATACAAATAATCTGTGAAATCAAGATGTTTCTATTTTGTTCACAGTGTACCTTCATTTGAAAACTGGCATCTGCAGTAGCCTACCAACCAAATGAAATTGCTTCATAGAGGGGCTGAACATGCTTTACCATGATAAGGCAAGTATCTCCCCTTGTCTGGGGATATTCAAAGCCCGCCTGGGTGCAGCCCTGTGTAACATGCTCGAGGGAATTAAAAAAATTATCCTTGGTAAAAATATTTGCATAATAACAAGGAGCCATTTTGCCAAAGAGGTTCTCACAATGACATATTTTGCAGGGAAAGATGAAGATTATTATCAATGTACAAATGCCATGTGCAAAGGGATAAAGTAATTGCACACCACTTGAAGCCCTCTGCTTGTGCACAAGGGTAAACTCTACCACTGCTCTGTCAGTCTGACAAAACTGTACTCACTGACTCTTGCTGAGTCCAGGAAAATAAATACATTTAAAAAATCAACCAAACTGTACAAGTCAGATTTTGACCTAATTCACACAATCAAAATTTCAGATGAATAAGGCACTCTGATTCCAAATATAGGAATATGGAAGAGTGGTGGAGATGAGATTTTCAAAGCATTACATTGATTTGCAGAAGTCCAAGTAACAAAAAGAAAGCAAAGGAGATTGCAATTTTTACAGGCTACATATTTCAGCAACATATTTTCCTTTTTATTTTTTACCAGGTTTTTTAGCAATCTCAAAGAGCATTCTCCTGAGGAACTGTTCCAGCAATAAGAATCAGCTGATATACAAGGACATGTCTCAAGTCCTTTCGTATAGGGGGGAGGGGAGAAAGATCCATTTACAAATTATTTTCTTAAGTCTTTAAAGGATGAGACATTCTAAAACATTCCTTTAAGAACATGCTTATTCAAATACTTTATAAACCAGCAGCTTCTATACTTTCAGATTCATGGTACAATGTGCATATTAATTTTGACATTATCTGCTCACATTATTGCATGCAGTTTATTGCTGGCATTTAAAGGATTCTAACGAGGTAACGCCATTGACAGCTTAACCTTTATTAGAAGAAAGTCAGATGAAGACATGACAAAAATTATATAGCTATAAAGAAATTACAGATAAACTATTTAAAAGAACATCCTCATTATAATTTGGTCTTTTCTTTACAATTAGAGACCACAAAAACAAGAGGTTTCTGTCACAATATTTTACTAAATTAGCATTTAGATAATACCTGAGGCACTTTTCAGAGACTATTTAAAGCTATGAAAAGCTCAGAGTCAGTATGTTATCAACTGTTACTTACAATGGTATTGCTACTGTTTGCTTTTAAGATCTACCTACATGGAACCTTCAAGAGTTTGTAAAACACTGAAATTGGCTCCATGCTTTCTATCTGCCTATAGTAACACTTAGGCTTCTCTCATATTTTCCATGTACAAAAGATTGTTTCAATATTAATTAATCCTCGCAATGTAATTGTAAGGTAGGAAGTGCCATTTCTCTTTATACAAAGTAGAAACAGATTGTGCCTTGCTTCATAGGAAGAAGTAGCATGAGGTGAACAACCCCATGGGCTCAGTCATCCCATTTCATGTTCTCTCAATACTAAATCTCTAATATTGCTCCAGCACGTTGTATTATTTCAATAGTTGTAATTACAATCATCACCATATAATAATTAAAAAACCTGGTATTGTTCAAAGAGAAGAACATATGTTTCTAATCACAAAACCTAAACATTTTAAAAAAGGACATCTGTTGTACTTCAGTTGTTCTTGATCACGCAGTGTAAAATCTTTGCTGACTTTACAGAAAAATCACATTTGATTTCTGTACCTGGAGTTGCCAAACCACATTAAAGTCAAATTATGTTCTACGAATATCAACACCTGATGGGATAGAAATCCTTGCCCCTGGTTTCAAAAGCCTTCCTAGGGACAGGAGAGTTTTGCAGCTTCCACATCTTACTCAACATCTAGCTGCTCAGGTAGAGTATTTGTGCAAGAAATAAAAATAAATAAAAGCACATTGCTATGACTAAGAGATCTGCAATGCACTTAGAGTCCAAATCCAAGATCACAGGGCATACCTGAAATACAAGTTACTTGATCAAAAAATTAAAATTAGCAGAGTAACTGGTGGGATAGATGAAAGACTGCTGTTTTCAGTAGGAAAGATTTTTATCTTGGATTCTCTTGTTCCTTCTGGCCAACAGACCATCAAAAGAAAATGTTCAGCCACAAGTGTCACAATTATTCAGTATCATATCCCAAAATGGGTCCCAGCCATTTCTCCACCTCTGCCACAGACAATTTTTTTCTTCGTGCATAATCTTCAACCTGCAAAGGGATCACAAAACATGATGAAGGTTTGGCAACTCCAGCTTTTACTGTTTACAGAAATTTTTTAACATCTGTTAATAAGATGATTTTGAATACTGTAACATTACCACAATGGATAGTCCAAGTTACCTGATCTTTACATATCTTGCCAACAGCAAAATATTTGGATTTGGGACTGGAAAAGTAGAGGCCAGAAACTGCAGAAGCAGGTATCATTGCTAGTGATTCGGTTAAACCAATTCCTGGAAAAGATAATAAAATTTTCTTACTCTCTGAATTGATAATAAGCATAAACCCAGAGCCTTTTTTGTTGGGCTACTTCAGGCAAATTAAAAAACCAAGAAGCTTTCAGATCAACTAAAGAAAACCCCAACATTTTCCATTTCTTCTCTATTAAAAAAATACACAGCTTTAAATATATTGCACTTTCATTACAGTATTACTGAAGAGTAACTGTACAATTTGAAGGAAAAAACTTGAGACATTTTTGGCAAATAGAATGGGTAACTAGAGGTTCTGAAACATAGGAAAGTATTTTTGGAATTGTGGAAGTAGTAGTGAAATGTCTGACACATAAAATATCAGAGGAAAATGAACAGAATTCCGTAATTTTTTAAGAATCACCATTTCAGGGTTTCTGTGGACCAGGAAATAAACTATAAACTATGAATTGCCTTTTTTTCTGTTTATATCTGGAATGTCTTCTTGCAACCATAAAGATGCTAGAATTTTTTTCTGTGCAGCAGAACTCCTTCACCAAAAGCACTGTCAGCATTCTGCAAATTCATCCTTGAATGAGGCAAAATAAAAATGGCAATAGAAAGGGGAAGGCAGGAATTCCCAGAACTACTTCAGTTCAGTTTTTTAAGTAGCTCTGCACCACCCAATTCACTGTTTTGTTGCCATTTCAATCTTTCATTCAGACAAAAAGTTTAAAAATCTCAGTAAAGCAGACAAAGGTACCTGTTGTTTCCTCAATGTTTGCAAGTTTCCACATGGTGAGTTTTTCTGTATGGTCAGGCTGGCTTGGATATCCAGGGGCGGGGCGAATTCCCTCATATTTAATTCTGCGTAGGTCAGAGAGATCTAGCTGCTCAGTACTACAGTAAGCCCAGAATTCCCGGCGAACTCTTTCATGGAGCTCCTCTGCAAATGCCTCGAGATAGAATGCAAACGTTTTGTTTCATTTTTTAATTTGTGCTGACTGATGCAACAGCTACTTGATGAAGACACACAATGATAGAGACTTTCCCCCCACTCCCATTTTAATTTGGGTGGGGGGGTGTCTTATCATAGGTGAGAAATTTGGTAGCATTAAAATTTACACACAATACTTATGTTTCTAATTCAAGTATTTTAGTTTTTTTTCTTATTGTTAGACAGTGGGGTTTTTTGTTGTCCTGCTTTCAAATCCTACATACTCAAAGCATTTAAAATGTGGACAAGCAACCAGAAAAGATGGAAGTTCATTAGCTTATGGCAGGGATACATCATTATAGCACTGGAGTCATGAGGTCTCGACTACCTGGGTATCTCATCCAAGTCTAGCTGAGGAACACCACATCATTCTTGCATCCATGCCAGTGTCAGATGTAAGTCCTGCAGTTCTTTTTAGAACAGGACATTTCTTCCAGCCGAAAGTGGGGAAAAGCTTCTCTTAACTGCTCTTACAGCCTACACTGTTTTGCCAGCAATAGTTGCCTTCAGAAGAGATTTCCACTACAATGAATAACTGTAGATGGCATCTAATAATAATTTCTGAAGCTCTCTTATAGCTTGAAATGCACAAGTAGAGTCAGCCTCATCTGCATTGCACCGAAGGTGCTCTACGTATTAACACGGTTATTTAGGTGTAAGCATGAGGGCAGGCAGATGGGGATAGAGGTGTATTAGGGAAGGAACAGCATTATCTAAACCACTTTTGTTTGAGTTTTAAGAACAGTTCTGTCTAAGTCTAAGACATGTTAGAGTTAAAAATTGCACACTTGATACATCTACATGGTCACCATCAAAGTAAATGTATCTGGAATTCAATATCAATCAGTGGGTCACACCTGGGTCCAACATAATTCTCATGTGGATAAAACAAGATTTAAAGATAGCTCTTTTTAAACATCTTGGTTTAAAATCTACTTAATTCAAACATCAAAATCCTCATAAAAAGCTGAGAAATGCTTCTGCAGCTGGAAGATATGGCTCAGAAGAGGCCTCACCTCTTAAGACAGTTTCAGTAGAACTTGTTCACTTTCGCATTTAATGCAGAGCATACATTGCAGATATCAAAGTTTTAGCATAAACCTGAAACAACAACCTGTCAAACAAATCTAGTACACAGACAGAAAATCTGCAAGGAAGCACATGATAAAACCTCATACCTCTGCCAACCGATCACCAAGAGCCTTCACCATTATGATGTTGTATTCATCATCCTGTTTCCTAAATTCATTGCATAACTCATCTACACCAAAGCAGGCCACAGCAAACAGGCCTAAGTAGTCACAAATGCCAGAATCCAGAGGTGCTATGAAGTCAGAGAGGCAGTAATATGGGTCTGTACAGGCCGAGTCCTTTTCAGCCTAAAGTAACAAAATCAATGCAATAAATCAGAACATATAAATAATATATGAAATATTAGTGCACTATTAATTTAAAGACCAGTATTAAGAATAGCAGGATTTCTGACAAACAGTCTTTTATCCATGATGGCTTTCTTGTTCTTGAATTAGAAGAAAAACACCCTTCCTACTGTGAGAGTGTTTGGATCACTGAAGAACAAAATATCAAAGGACAGAGATGCTGTGCTGAACACATACAGAAAAATGTTTTGCTAGTAAGACTTAACAGACTATTCTGCAGACAAGCTATAACAATATAAGGAATACTCTTGTGTCAGCCAGCCACCCAGAAAGAGGAGGAATTTTCCATTTCTAGCACTCAGATTCCACCTTTTTTAGCAAAACTGATGGCTGATGGTTCGCATCCCAGTTACACAAACTGCAGAATTCTTCAGCAAGTCCCATTTTAGAACATCTGTCAGAGTTTATAAACACTCTTAGTTTCTTATGCTGCAAACCATATGCTCACTAACCCAGACAAAACAGCACCACAGGATGTAGGTTTACACTAGCCACAAGCAACACAAACAAAATGTCCCCATCTCTACTGAAAAGTCAAATTCCATGCAAGGTTCAAGTGGCTTTATGCAAACAGGCAATATTCTACTCAGTGGATCCTTTTCCAAAATGGGAAAAAAGAAAATAGAAAGAGATGTCTGAATGCCTGCCATAGCACCTAACAAGAAGTTTTACAGCTGCAGCATATTCACTGTGGAAACATGACTGCTATTTAAAAAGTGGCACAGCTCTTGTAAATCTACCCAACTTGCAGAGACATAGAAGTTACTTTGTGGCTATGAACTAGATGAAGATTCTTCTCCAAGTTTTCTTATTCTATGACAGTATTTTAACACTGTTTTCCACTAGTTCCCAGTTGCAGTTTAAAAAAAAAAAAAGGAACAGAACACAACACACCCCTGAAAAACAAAGAAAAAGGGTCAACTGTTCCCTAGTTTCTATAACCCCCTAGGTTACAGAAAGAACCACTGAACTGAAGAAATACCCGCTTTCCACACAGGTGAAACGCAAATCTGGATAAGTATAATTTGAGCATGAATACTTAAAATAAAGATTTCTCTCAATCAGAATTAGCAGTCAAGTAATTCAAAACTGTTTATTCATATGGGGAATTTTACATGAAAATTAAGACTTTCAAAAACACTTGTCTCCCATTGAGCTTTATTTTCCAGGTATTTCAGTCTTAATTGGAAGTGATTTTAATCTTTAACTTATTCAAGAAGAATTTTTCATCAAAGTAGGATTAAGGCTCATTAGTTTCTAACTTAGCACACAGGATCCATGTGTTGAATTTATACAACATAGTCTTTACGACATCTTAAATATTAAAATGAAGACAGAAAATGCACTTCATATTTGAAGATGTCAAATCTACAAAGCATTTTGTACAGCTACTACCATGCAAAATACTACAAATATTACAGTACAAATACCTGGGTCATCACTAAAAAGATTTTTTTTTTATTACTGAAAGAAATGGCAAGACAACAGTTGCAGTTTCCAACAACCATTTTCTGCACAGTTTTTAATAGGGCACTTCAGCTGTATTTTTGCAATTTAGAAAAAAAAATAATCACTTTCTTTAACAAATGCTCTGTCATTGTACCTGTTGCCTCAAGCCATAAAATTTTGCAATTGGTTCCGAAGATTCCACTGCCTCTTCTACAGCATATATATGGATATCATCTTGAACACTTTGAGCTGGCCAGAACCCAATCACTCCTCTAGCTTGTAATTTCTTTTCATTAATCAACGTTTTCAGTAGATTTTGAGCATCATTATAAACTCTCTTTGCTTCTTCACCTATTAAAAAAAAAAAAAGGGGGGGAAAAAGAGTATCCATGTTTTCCAAGCTGGCTAAATAGGTTTAAGAATTGCTGAAGATTTGTTCATTTTCCACATAATTCTCCAGTGACTGCAACAATCTGTCAGCTACAGCAAACAGAGATAGCAGTGAGATTACATCTATAGAGCTGTATTAATGTTTATCTTGGAAAAAAAACAAACAACAAAAACATTTCAGGCAGCACCATTCTAGTAGAGGCAGAGAATGTAGAATAAAATCAGCAACAGAGAACCTGTGTGTGCACCTACATCACCAGAGTGCAGCAGATCCATAACACCGATTTCAGTTATCACCCTTGCAGTTTCATCATGGATTTCAAAGCCTACTGAATACTTTCAAAAAGAGACAAGAGCGCTCTTGCCATCTTCCCCCACAACACAGACACAGATACATTTAGTGCACTGCTGCCAATTGATGTCATTAAAATACCTCCCTGTGTTTTGGCAGGTGAACTGTAAATAAGATGATGGTGCATTTTTCCCCATTTCTTCTTCAGCCTCACATGCCAAAACAAGTGTTGCTTTGAACAAACTTTCAATGACACTAGGTTTCCACATATTTTCACTATTGCTATGTATTTCAGAACAGCCAGAATATTCGTGCAGCATGCCAGGTCTGTTAGAATTATTTACATGGAGTAAATGCAGTATCAATACTTACCTACAGTTTTATCATTAAAAACTTTAGGGAAACCCCGGTTGGGATACTTTCCCCTGAGTTGCCAGACGTCAAAAAAAGGCTTCCAGTCTATGTATTCTACCAGCCTATTCAGGTCATAATCTTCGAAGACTTTTGTCCCAATGAATTTTGGTTTCACTGTAGGAATTGAAAGTACAAACTGATATGATGAAAATAATTTAATATTGCTTTTATATGTGCAGCAGAACTGATGCTCACCAGCCTTCACCACTGCAAATGACCTCTTCCAAAGTAATGAGAATTCTCACCATCTTACTGCTTCCAAGTCATACCATACTCTACAGTTAAAACGCAATTTAAACAAAGGACTAAATGCATTCGGAAGTTGAAACAGAATGTAAGGCTTTTTGTTCTTTCATAAATCAACACTTATTAGCTGTTGGACTTCAGAACTTATTTCATTGGCCAAAACAGAAGACCAAAAAGACATACACAACATATCAATACTTAACCTATGGTCATATACCTTTCATATTTACAAATCCTACTTTCTATACAGACATATTATGTGTTATGCTATTGCAGAACAGTTCTGTAAATTAATATCTAATTTATAAGAACTTTTGCAACCACCACACACTTGTTCAGATGCATGTGCACAAGTGAAAACGTGGGAGGGATCATGTTATGATGTAGCCAAAAGCTTTGCATTTGTTTTGTCAGTATGTCATAACACATTTTTTATTAAGATCAGCTATTGAAAATTAGTATCTTGTTGTGTCTAGTAGATAAAATGACAGAAACCAATGAAGTGTCAATGTTGCTGCAGGATGCAACTTTTTGTGGAATGCTGTTAATACTTCTATTCTCTAATTTTTAAAAAATTAAATAATCAAAACATTGGTATAGAAGCTGATGGGGGAAGGGTAGGAAAAAGTGTAAGGAGGAATTTTATATAAATGGCAATGTGTGTTCCCTTAATATGGTATAGTCAGCTTTGCAATATAATAAGCCAGTCCAAAATTATTTTGCAAAGCAGGCATTAGACTTATCTTTGATTATATGATGTTATGAGTAACTAACTCATTGTTTTAGGGTTTTTTTCCATTTCTTTAATTAACTATTAACGTATATTTTAAATACATCGTGAAAAACAAAGCACAGGCAGGACACTCAAATTTATGCCAAAAAAATCCCCTTCTGCTGTGACAGATACCAACTTACTCAAGTTGTTACTCAAGTGAAGTTTAATGAAGCATAATCTAATTTTAAAATATTATATAATACAAGCACAACAACAATAAACAAATTTAAACTAACCTGGTTTATGGCCTGATAACCAGTCATTATGGAAACCTTTTCTTCTAGCTTGCTGTAAAGACAAATATCTTCTTTCCTATATGGACATAAAAGGTAATTCACAAAGCCAGCCATCTTTCAGACAAATAAACACTAACTGTTGGCTTGATGGTAGCATTGTACTCAAAATGGTTTTCATGACAAATCTGACAACAGACCATTTCAGCTTCATTAACTCCTAGTTGACAACTGTAGAGTCAGATTATATCATGACCACAGCACTATTTCTTCCTGTACACTTCTAATGAAACTGGCCTACAAGATTTCTAGTTTCTCTGAACTACACCAGAAGTTCCTTTCCTACTTCAAATTACATGAAAATACAGGTACAGCAAGATATTCTCCTACTGCCTGCAAAAAGCTTAGGATGGCAGTGACACCACCACCAGTGACCACAGTATGCCTCTGGTCAAATTACTGGCTTTTCTGAAAGACACAAGAAATTTATAGCAACTTATTAATTAACTGCTGACCTCTGCCTAAAGGAGAGCTACAGCCACTGAACTCAGCTTAGTGGACTGGTTCCCTCTGTGAACACAGTCTTAAACCCAGTCAAACCAGATGTTCTCAGCGGTAGATCTCAATCTTTATCTTTCTTTATCAAGAGCCCAGATAAGAGTTTATCTAAACTTCAGCTTGCTTCTGTGTTTATTTACAAAAATGGACTCAAAGGAGTTATATGTTATTTGTTCCCTATTGTTAATTTGTACAGTCCATCTCCACTGTTCATTGCTTCCTTCACTTTCCTAAAATGGCAGCCTCAGCTGTCTACTAAGATTGCTCAGATCCCTAACCTACACAATACAAACACATTAGAAAAGCATTGTGCTGTAAAATACTCATTAGAGTGTGGCTTAATACCAGCAAAAGCAACCACTGCCATTTTAGTTACCCCAGTGTAGCTCCCTGCTTCCAGCTACTGCTCCAGGAGCACACTGGTCTCCTGTAGGCTGGCTGGTTAAATCGACATGACTGCCAGCTCCATGGAGATGTCCTAGATACCACTGATTGCCCATTGAGGACAATCATGAATTTGACAAGCATGTTCTAGTCTCACACAGAATTTTCCCGTATAGGTTAAAAAATCTGGTTTCATAAGCACTCCTGAAGTTTTAAATTAATTTTACTGCATGGTTTAAATGAGCACAAATACACTTGAAGGTCTTCATAAAGAGCTAAAACTAAGAGTAATAAGGCAAGTGCCAACCACTTCAAACAAGAGAAGCTAAAGCTATTATACTTGTACCTTTAGAGACTCATAGTGTTCTTGTCTAATTTCTTCATATTCCTCTAATATTTCTTCAAAGAAATCATCCTTTACATTTTCATCTAAGAGCTGGGAGCACTGGAAAAAAAGGAAAGAGAAAGCACTAAGTACATATGGTAACATACCATTGTAAGGACAGAGTATGATCTTTAGACTATGTTATATGTCTTTCAGACTCTTGTTTCCAATTACGCTTGACAACATTAAACTAAGCCTTACCAATAATTTGAAAGCTGGGTTCAAACGTATTTTAAGAATACGATTATTACTGGTAGTACTGCCCTACTGCACAGGTAACATTAGCAGAGCCAAGTCTGGCTCTGGAAAGACTGCAAGACTTTAGGGACTGAACTGTCATAGAAACAACACACAGCTTGGTCTGCTTCTTTCCAGCCAGCATTTGCCAGCTAAGACTACCCATTTTTCTGATAGAAAGAACATCCATCCCAGCAATCTCCAACTTCATAGTTACTAATGTTGCCACATCACTAACTTCAGAAATATATCCAAATTAGAATAACAGATGACAACTAACCCCATCATTCTTCACTATAAAACATCTCAAAATTACAGTCAAGGACTCAGAGTGAATATTTCACCCTCACTATAGAAATGTGCATTTAAATAAAGGTATCCAGTGACAATAACTGACAGAAGTCAGATAACTACATGGCAGCAAAAGATAACTGAAGTAACAGTTTAGAAACCAGTCTCTGTCACACCTCTTTGGTTTTCCTGCCATAATGTTAAGCCTTAGAGGAAAGGATGAGAGGCACAACATAAAAAAACAGGGCAGTTTTGCACAGACAAGAAACTATAATTTAGAACTTACAACCACAACACTCTTGGATGCATCCAGGACATGAACTACAGGTGCACTATATCGTGGGGCAATTTTAACAGCTGTGTGTGTTCTTAAATGAAAAAGAAAAAGAGTGAGTATTTCACACCTGGAAAAAAAAAAAAAAAAAGAGCCCCCAAAAAACAAAGAAAAAAGAACCCCACCAAAATAAATAGTGACTTAATGTATAGACCAGAACTTCAAAATAAGCAATTCATCCACCTGTTATGCATGGATGATTAAACACAGAATTTAATAATAGGTACATAAACACTTTTCTTCAAAGAGTGTCAGAATGCTTCAAAATGTGCCATTCACATTCCCTCATTGTTTTACCAGCTGACTAAAAATCAGCAACTCATTAATCTGAGTCTCAGAAAATTTCAGCAAGAATGTTCCAAACTAAGCCTACCAAAACCTGTTTTTTCTTACACCGTTTTGCTCATCTTCTATTTTGCCCACCCACATGCTAGTTTCTGGGTCTATGGATTAGAATAACTTCTTTCAGTCATGATCATTATATTCTACAATGCTCTACTTCAAAACCAGAGGCATACGCTTCCTACTCACCTGAAGAAGGAATTAAGTCAGTGGTCAACAAATACTACAAACTTACACCTGCTTGGTCAGTCAAGTCACTCACATAAAAACCTCTCAATTAATCCCATTATTCAGGATTTACTCATGCTCCATGCTCCTCATGGAAATACTTCAGTGTATATTGAAGAATCACTTCTATATGCTAGCATTTTGTTGACCAAATTAAAGTATGGAATCCTAAACTGAGGCCTAACCTATCACATGAAATGCAGCTGGCTACTCCTGCTGCTCCAAGAGTCCTGGCAAATTGTGCAAGAAAGTGCAGGAACTATGACCTCGCAGGCCAAAGCTCAGTTAGCTTTCTTGAATGGTCAGGTCAAACGCAGGTTTTTAAATTAATTTAAATCAGAACCCAGGAAGCAAATACAAGGTCTCATTTTTCTTAAAGTTCTCTCAAATATTTAAAGTACTTGGACACAGAGGTTACTGATGACTGTGCAAAACAGTTGTGTAAGCAACTATCCAAGCTTTTCTTAATTTGCTTCTAGGTGATACACCTTTGATCTTGACAGCTCTATTTTTTAGAAAAATATATCTCTTTTACTTTTACAGGAACAAAGGAAACATCAGTGCATAAACTTACAATGGCACTGGATCAACTCATACATACTAATTTTTATGTTGTTTTTTTTAAAAAAAAAACATTACCATAACAAAACTGTCACCATTATTTGTCAACATGTGAATTTACCAAAGCAGTCTAGTAAGAATGGAAATGTCATTATTATTGTAAGTCACAAAGACACTCTATTATGTAGATTCTGTAGGCAAAATCAAGCTTCTCTCTTTCAAACTAATCTCACTTTCCACCCTTCCAAGTACTCGTTGTCTCCTTATTCCAGGTGACAACATCTACTTATTACAAAGTATAGATGGTTCTTCATTAGCAACCTCTGACACATACATAATCTTCCAGAATGCACACATGAGGCTAAACTTCAGATTGTGGCAGTAAAACTACATATATATTAACAATCCAGTCTTCCATAAAGAATACATTTACTTGACATATATTTTATAGAAATTACATGTATCTGGGAATATGCATAAGCACATGCTTATAAACAGTTCACATGAATAACATTACTATTTATGTATACAAAATTACACATATATTCTTTAATAATTTTCATACTGAAGGATAAAAGTAGTGCTGCCTTCCTGTGGGCTACATTAATCTCTGTGAATAAATTATACAAAATTATTTGATGCTGGTTATTTGACATCAGTTACTAGGCCACAATGCCCTCTATGGAAACACTAAAAGGATATGAAGAATCCAAAGACCTTCACTTAGAATAAAAAGGCTCTTTTTTCCCCTTTTTTAAAGAAAAAAACCTCCATGCTTATGCTCGGTATCAAAGCCAGAGAAAAGTGACTCTTATGAAGAAAGAGAAAAATGACATACACTTAACCTTGAATGATAACTACAGGACCAATAAAGACAGGTAGTGATCCTACTCGTCACTGTCTGTCAAATTATGGGATGACTTGCGAAGGCCAAAACTACAGAATATATTGAGCTAATGGTTCTGCTAGAAGACATGCTGCTCTGATAAAGAAAGCAACACTGCTAACAGATTCTAGTTATGCAAGAAATTACCTCAGCAGTCTTCTGAGCTGTCACCTATTCAAGCATACTGTACATAAACCAGTTAGCAAAGCGTGAGCCAAAGCTGTTACACATGCCCAGAACAAATTTGTGGTAACATTAATACTAGGTGTCAGTGAGCTGTCAACACTGGTCTTCAGAACATCATAGCAGCTGTATTATTTCAGTTGACGGATCTGAGAGAAAAAGATCTCATCAGAAAAGCTCAATCTATCAAAAGCAAAACAGGAACTATTTTAAGGTGAACAGCTTGAATTTATCATCTCTCAGCCTGCTTGAATAGGACAGGGCTCTCAACGCAACCAGCACAGTGCTGAATGGTTATCCAGGAAAACACATTAACTTTCTTAAAGATAATAGCTCCCTGATGTCAACATGACAATTTATAATCTCAAAATCCTGCATTTTCAGAATGCTTTGGTGAACCAACCAGAGTGTTTTAACTCCTTAGAAGAACAGAACATTATTTGTATCACAGAATCATCACGGTTGGAAAAGTCCTCTAAGACCATCAAGTCCAACCATCCAGAACCCATACTAGTTCATGTCTGAACTAAGTTTGTTCATGTTTGAACTAAGCATTTTGAGACAAGAGCTCCAAAGTTTTCTTACATTTGAATAAGAACTCAGTGCTGCTGCTGTGGCCCCCAAGGAAATTATGCTACTGCAGTTAAATATGCTTGTATTTACGTATATGTGTGAACTTTTAGAAGGAAATGTAATGCTTCCACATACAATATACACTTGCCAAATATGTAACACAAAAATGAAATATTTAAGATGTCAACTATTTGTTGTGTACCAATTACCTTTTACCTCTATATTCTAGAACTGCTCATATAAGAAATAACATTCAGTCTTAACTATACACATACCAGCATCTGTGTTGGGAGAAAATGAGGGAAAGGGAGAGCAAAATAGCTATACATTTTCTTTTTCCCTGAGTAGCACTATTTTCATAAACATTCCCCATCTTCCCAACTGAGACATCTTACTTAGAAGTCGTTGCTCCTCCAATCAGCAAAGGAATCTTTATTGCCAATCTCTCCATTTCCTTGGCGACAAAAATCATTTCATCCAAAGAAGGGGTGATGAGACCAGATAGGCCAATTATATCTAGTGCAAATTTATAAACACACATACAAAAAAGGTTTAGCAAATCCACTGTAGAAAGACACAGAAATTATTACAGAAAGTCTATCTTTCACATGTCAGATAGCTTCCTGTGTCAGCTAGAAAACATGAGATAAAAAGCAGGGTAGTTGCCAGTCTAGAAGCGAGATTGACCTAATTATGAAGTGAAAGCTTTCAAAGAATTAAAGTGATTCAGAATCCCCAGTTTAGGATATTTCTCGAACAGTCTTCACAGCTGCTGAACATCTACTGCTGTAGTTTCAGCAAGAAATACGTAAGTACTTCTGATTAGCAAGCTTCAAACCTCAGAATTTTGGAACTGAGGAAGAAAATAAAATAATTACAAGCTCTGCTCTTAGAAACAGCAAACACTTTCAAACTTCACCACCTATGATCCACACATTTCATCTTTTCCAAGATGCAATAGACTGTTTCAAAGCAATTGTAACTTGTTCCAGAAAGTTTATTATTTATTAGAACAATTCATTCCTCATTTCATTCTCACTGATCTGGCAGGCAGAATGCCAAGTTCTTTTACTGATTTAAGACCCAACAAGAAGTTATTCAACCTTTCCAAGTCTCCATCTATCCATGCGTAAAACAAACACTAAAACTCTCTTGGAGTTGTCCTTTTGATACAGGTTTTCAGTTTCCCTGCTAAGTTTCACAGAAGTGATAAATACTAAACAGTAACTATTGTTAATGCAAAAGTCCTAATTTATCTGAAGACAGTCTGATTGAATCATAGAGAGCACAGGAATGCAATGAATAGCAATAAAAAAATTCAAGTGGGGTTTAAAACAAAACAATTCAGGAGTACTAATGAAATCTCTCTATACCTGCTTTGTTCTCAACAGCAGCTCTCAATATCTTATCACATGGAGTCATGACTCCTAAATCAATAACTCTGTGAAAAGAAGTGAAATGACAAAAGATTCTTTAAAAAAAGGTCAAATTTCTGCTAAAGGGCAAATAAATTGCTCCTACTGTAAATGACCAACCCAAAATTGAAGTTTAAAATTTAGATTTTGTTTCTTTCTTTCATTTAAGACCTCTGTTGGGATTTTTAATATAGGAAATACCTCTGGGTCTCCCAAAACTTTCAGGACATCAGAGTTCCGGATAATACAGTAGATAAGAAAATTCAAGTGCAAGAGGCGCTTTTTTTAAATTATTTTTTTTTTGTGGTTGTACTCAGTCTGGCTGAGATGGAGTTAACTTTCTTCACAGCAGATGGTAGAGTGCTGTGTTTTGGATTTGTAAGCAAAACAATGCTGATAACATACACCTTTTAACTACTGATGAACAGTGTCCAGCACCAAGGCCTTCTGTTTCTCACTCTAATCCTCCAGGGAACAGATTTGGGGGTGTACAAGAGCTTGGGAATAGACAAACACAGAGAGATGACCCAAACTATCCATATATTCCATGGTGTATGGTGTCACGCTCAGCAATAAAAAGGGAGAGGTAGGGGTTTAGTGAAGGTTAGCCATCTTTCCTCAGGAACTGGCTAGGCATCAGGCTACCCATGAGGCAGTGACTTGCTTTGGTTTCCCTTTCTTTCTTCTTCCACTTCTCCTTCACTTATGAAACATTTCTTACCTCCACCCACAGTTTTTCTTGATTTTATCCTTCCTTTCTTTTTTCCCCATCCCACTGAGGTTGGCTGTTTAGAAGCAAGTGAATAACGGCATGATTCTTAGCTGCCTACCAGGGTTAACCAACAGCAGTGGCATTTATGAAGTTGTTTGGCACTACAAAGAGGCTTTGTGGACATCATATCTTAGGTCAGGATAAGATAAATGTCATAAAGTGTTGGTTCTTTTTCTTACTAAAGCATACATTTTATAAAATGAGACACTGCACTTCCCTCGCTAGCATTTTATTCAAATTAACCATTTTTTAAGTAGGCTACTATTAGTAGCCTACTTAAGCCTGCTAGTTTCATACAGCCTCTGTCATACTGACAGAAACACTATGGCTTCAGCTCAAGAAAGTCTGAAACCAATTGACAGAATTTCAAGCAATACTGAAACAGAATATGCTGCATGTACACTGCTATGGGCTTCAACTCCGTGTTTTAAAATAAAGAGGTAAATTTGACTCCTTTTAGAGCAAATTACAGCCCCAAGTCAAAAACAAAACTAAAGTAATGAACAGTATGACAGAGTCCAGAGCAGATTCAGCTTTGCTCAATATTTGACAGACACTTGACAAGGGCTCTGATGTAAACATGACCATTCAGTCCAACGCTGTCTCCAAACCTGCTGCATGTACACAGGCCTTGAAAGAGTTGACTTTTCTGGAAGTTCCGTCTTCTGAAGCTCGGAAACAGGATGAGAATCTAATTTCTTATTTAACAAAAACATACCCCAGTGAGTTTTTTAAAACCTCATAGCTAACAGCTTGAAAAATACATTAAAAGAGTTATTTGAATCTTACAACACTTGCTTTTTCCCAAGACAATACACAGTCCACACATACTCTTGCTTACTAGAATTTTTTTTATCTGATTTCTTCAGACATCAAAATTATATGTATAATACATTATACTTGCTATATTTAACTAATATTAAAAAAATAAAAAAAAACATGCTTCCATCTACATTTCAGTTGATGTTAAACTGTGTTCACCTCAGATGCCAATTTATTAGGAAAAAGGAGTATTGAAGGACAAGGCTCTATTCCCTCCTTCCTCCCCATTGTATGGGCTTGTATGATCTGTGTTCCCAACCACAACTTGGGGAACAGAACACACGTCCAAAGAACTGCCCACCCCTCTTATCACCACAGCTGTAGCTAGCCTAACATATTAAGTAGCAAGCCACATACAGCTGCGTTCTGAGCTACCTAACGGTAGCCTCTTTACCTGAAGTTGTTGCAGCCCAGAACGACTCCCACAATGTTCTTGCCAATATCATGTACGTCTCCTTTCACAGTCGCTAGTACTATTGTACCGTGATAAGGATCCTGAAAGTTGAATGAAAAACACAGGAGTTACATGACTTGCAAGGCTCAGTATGTTTCCACAGACCTTCAACAGCATAATTCCAATCCATGGTCAGGGCTTCTATTGTAGTACAAGCAACTGCAAAGTGTAGTAGAGCTAATGCAGTCAATACTAAAAACTGTTTTAAATGATCCAGGTAATAAAAACTTGGACAAGAATTATTATTTCAAATTGCATGTATATTATTCAAAAACCTGTGTTTAAAAAAAACAAAATAACAGATAAAAAAAAATCAGATCTGGATAGCATTTTGTGCAGTGCAATAACTGAACTCCTAAGGTAACTCTGCTCCAAATATAAACCTCCCAAAAAAAAAGTTTAAATAGATTAAACATTTAGAACAAAAGGGTATGAACATTCATAATTACATGCCTACTCATGCACCAGGATCAATCTTTCAATGCAATGTTGAAAAGAATGAGAGGAATTAGCAAAAGCAGTGGTGACTACCTTTTTATGCAACGCAAACAGCAAGGGAGACATTTCAGTGCAGTGATCAAGCTACTTCAGATTAACCAAGCTAAGCAAGCAGGCTGTGAAAATTATCTACTTGAAGAAGGGAAGCTGTTGGTCCTAAACTAGACAGCATTCAGCCCTGACAAAGAGGTCCTACCAGCTGGAACTTCCTATAGCAATTCTCCACCAGGACACAGGCTTTTGTGATACATTTTTAGTTGTATAATCAGTGTTGTCATTTGGAGGCTATGACAGTGCTGTACCTGAGCTGGTACAGGATCAGATGCCAGTAAGAGACTACTAAAACTGCACAGAATTTAAATAAAGTGGAAAACTGAGCATATTCTATTTGAAACTACAAATAATTTTTCTGGCTAGTATCTCATCTCCTTTGCAGATGGCATAACTGGAGGGTTAGATCCTACTATGAAGCATGTTAGATTTCTGGACAGCATCAAGTAGCTCTCTCCTCATGAACCTACATTGTCTTCTGTAGTTGCAATTTTCCAGGGGGAAAAAACGTAAAATATTACCAAGAGTAATTTCCCATGGCCCTAACACATTTGTTGAATAAAATCCCATGGTCCTCATTAATGCTGCTTTTCACAAAAATCTGTTATCTTGCCAGTGCTCTTGTTTTACAGTAGACTGGGCAACAGAGAAGGCAAAATGGAGGTCTCTAAGTCAGCCATTTTGGTTCATCAGTAAAAAAAACTGCAGCTGAAAATATACTGCTGGAATATAAGAGAAATCTGGAGAAAGAGATTAATCAAGGACTGGGGGAAGTTAAAAAAAAAAAAAAAGTGTTGCCCACATGAATCATACCAAATAACAACTGATCATTTAATTAGTGGTATTGCACATGAGAAGAAGAAAAATCTATGCTGGGCAGCAAACAACACAGGTGAGGGCAAATGCTATTTAAATAAAACCTATTTAGGGCACACTGTGATTTGAGTTCTCTCAAGCAAGGAGACCCTCAAGTTCTGGGCACACATGCTATGGGCTTCTTTTTTTAAATCTTGATGGAGATCCACAGCTATTTTTCCTCAAATATAACCACCGATGCTTTGCATTTCCTGCCAATCTGTGACCAAAAACGTCAAGGAGGTTAAAGTAGCCTGAGTAGCATCAGGCAGATTAGCTGCCAGAGTGTGCAAATAATTTTCCTTCAAGTCAACATCAGACTTTGGTGGTAGATCCAGCAGATTTTTCTTCTCTCAGCAATTCTCTATACAGTGACTTTTTAAGAGGAAGGCACCACAGCCCTTACCCAGCAGTCAGTAGAGGAAGCAGGAGGATAGAAGACCTGCTTTTTCCCTTCTGCTCCCCTCAGCACACAGGTTATCTCACAATCTCTTCAGAGTGCTTGCTACATTTCTAAGAAGTTCTCAAATTCCACTTCCATTATTTTTAGCAAAAGAATTAAGTGCCAGAGGGTTCAGAGTAGATCCTAATACAGTGTTCATGGAAGCAATGGGGTAATGATTTTCAGCGACTTCAAACAGAACCAAAATAAACCAGAAGGTGCCAAATACCAGCATTACCATCTGAATTAAAATAAAAAATAACAGGACAAGCAGAAGAGAGATGACACATAGAAAGGTGACTCCTGACAGTCAGAACAGATCTGCTTGAGATAGTAAGGAGAAGACACCTTCTTCCCATCCAAAAAGAGCATGGAAAGAGAGACTACACATTCTCCTTCTTCTATTAAGATTAATCAGGTTTGATTATCAGGGCATTTTTCTCTCTAAATAACTTACTGCATTCATTACATTTATGCTGGACACATAATAGATTGACAGCAAATGGAAAGATTAAGCGTTAGAAGATTGAAAAGGAAGAATTAGGAATTATTCAAAAATCCACAGAAGGGAAACCAAAGGGAATACACAAATATCACAGTTTAGAGAAATTCTACTACTCTTACTTGTTTTGTTTGTTACGTGTTAAATACCAGATTCTAATAATAGCTATTGTCTCTGAGAACTCATGAAGACAAAGTAAGGTTCCACAGGACTAAAGAAAAATAAATGTATATCAAACCTAAATTTGATAGACAAAGAAAAGAAAAATATTTAACAACCAAATCTGTAAGCACCTATTACATTAGAAATTCAGTATAAAATAGCAGACATGAGTATTTAAAAGGGGATTTTGTCCAATTAACCTGAACTCTCTTTTTTACCAAACAATCTTTTCAGTATAAAGAAACAAGGGACATCCTCTTTCTTCATTTTCCAGTGATCCTTTCACATATTCCATTAAACAAATTTGGAAAAAATTACTTCCAGTATATGCAGAGTGCATGATAAAACTATTCTCAGGCATCACCAACTGTTGGCTGTGAAACAGAAAATGCTTTAGAGAAAAGGCCCACAAGGATCTGAAAATCACTGGATATTTTCAATTACATGTATTTTCTATAGTACATAAAAAGTAGTCTTCAGAAACTATTGGAAAAGCACACATATGAAAAGACAACCATATTCAGACCCTGTTTTCATAAGCACTTGTACCCTGCAAATAACTCATGGCTACATATGCAATGAGCATACTGTTCTATGTACATGCAAAAAGGAATTGCAAAGTTCACTGAGGATAGAAGCAGTAGAAGCAAGAAGCAAAATTTGCCATTAAGTTAGAAGTACCATAAATAAGTAGCACTAGAATTAAATGCCTACAAAACTACAAGAAGTAAATAACACTGGTATAAGGGACCTAAAAAGGCTTATGGCATTCATCAGGAAACTTCTGACAACAGTTTAGACACACACAAAGCACAGTTACACAAAATCGGTTACCGTAATTTCAGACCTACTTAAATTATGCCAAGATAGTCAGTTTCCATATGACTGCATCAACTCTGCAGCATCAAAACTGAATGTCATTAGCAAAAAATAATTTCAATTTTTGTCATGATGTGCTTTGAAAGAGTTACAACACAAAGAACTGCATCTTGCCTCTTCCTCTATGCTGCCTTTTTCAGCTCTCCTTTCCTCTCTTTCTTTTTCCATAAAGGGAATAAGGTGGCCAACTGCTTTCTTCATAACTCGAGCAGACTTTATCACCTGCACAAGTAAAAGGGGGATGGGAATTAGCAATAATGATCAGGTATAGGAATAGCCTTTAATTTCTTATAGTTTTCTTTTGTACCCATTCAAACAATACACTTAGTTGCATTATAAACTTCATTTGCAAATCCAGATTCCAGCTTTGCAGAGCATTCTGTGGTAGTAGGCTGGCCCTACTGGACTACAGATGGCAGCTGCTTTGCCAGTGCAACCTCTTGGACCACTCACAACAGAAGTAGAAGCACAAACAAACAGGCCTAGATTTCAGAGATGTTAAACACAGCAATTTTTAGAGGGCTCTCTTTTCTCCCTTCCTCTTTTTCATGGGCCCAAAATAAGCACTGCATTTCAATAAAGCGAAAACAGTGAGGAAGAAAGAAAACAAACATGTAAAACTCCATAAAGAAAGCCAGGTTCCAAAGTAAAGAAAAAATAGAGCTGAACCTGAATTTTTACAATTCACATGCTGTATCTGAAAAAACAGCCAGTGTAGAATGTTTTGGCTATGGTTTACAATGCTAGTTTTTGCAAAATAGGAAAATATATGGAATTATTTTCTCATTACCTGAGGCAGAAACATCTTTCCAGCACCAAAAAGATCACCAACTATTTTCATGCCATTCATCAAAGGCCCTTCAATTACATTTAGAGGTCTCGGATATTTTTCCTGATTTAATCTTGCTTCTTCTGTATCTGCAGTGACACTTCTCAATTCCCTGGGGGAAAAAAAAAAAAACAACTGAGAAGCTTTTATCTTGCTTGAAATACAGCTTTTATTTACTTGACTTCTCCCCCCCAAAAATGAAAGTACAGATACTTTAGATACTGCAAATCTTTTAGAATACCTCCGATGTATATTTAAAATAGTGGGGTTTTTTTAAACAAAACACTGTAGTTCCTAGGGTTAAATATCTTAGGCATATAAAGCTGTTCAAAAGAAGACTCCCCAGTATTAACAGGTTTGTTTTTCTTACCTGTATAATAAGAAAAAACAAACATTTAAAGATTGCTTCCTCAGCACAAATGCCATTTAGTGCACTGCTAGTAAAGGACAAAAAAACCCTCTAGAAAGTTAAACCAATACACTAGAAAGTAAAAGTAATACATGAGAAAGTAAAAGCAGTATGTTACTACCAATAGCAGGAGAATAGAATATTAGGGGTCAAAGACTTCAGCTTGTGAAGTTTAAAGACAAATCACCACCATTTATCTCTGAAGTTCATTAAATATATTAATTATATATATTATTCCTCATTATTTAATAGCTTTTAAAAGAATGGCAGCTGCAGAACTTAAAAATTTAAAAAGCCGTAGGTGTCCCTCAAAGTCTGCGCTGAGATCATGTCTCTGAGACCTGATGGCTAGGATAATTTTCTGCACAGATTCACCTTTATGAGAGCATATTCCAGCCTTTCCTCCACCGAACTTTTCCGCCACTCATCAGTCTGTACAACTTTTCTTCCTCCTTGGGCGTGATTCTGAGGAGGAAAGACATCCATAGGAGCTTGCAAGCATAAAAAGTACAAGTACAGACTCCACGTTTAGAAAAGTGAAGATAATGTCAAGTACTGACTCATAAAGCAAATTTAGATTATTCAGAAGGTTTTTATATATACATGCAAATCTTACTGTAAACACCTCTGCTGTACTACAGACACTAAGGAAGTATACATCCCAAGGTGTATATACCACAATTAAAATGTAAACAACACAAACAAGAAAAATTCTTTTTTTTAAAGTTGTTTTTTTTAAAAAAAAGAGAGGGAGCAGTTTAATAATTTCACACTCTTAAAAGTTATGAAATAACTAATCCTAAGGGGTTTACTTCTGGGAACATAATTTAAATTGATTCCTGGCCCACACACTACACTTCATTTTAAAATTCTAATTAATTTGGCAGTAATTCAGTTTCTGCTGGAATAGGTTATGTTACTCCATGTCACAGACGTGTTTGCAATCAGGCAGTCTATAGAACTACTGTTTCTCATGCACACAGACTATCCGAATCCCTCACATGCTCTCTTTGCCTTACACTCACACTTCCTTTTGCTACAAACGCAAAGGCCAAAAGGGCTTCACAATGCAAGAAAGCTCATAAGCACCCACCCAAGGAAGACTCATGCTATACGTTACTTCAATCACCACCCTTCAGGCAAGTAATTTCTTTTCCTCCCTCGGTTATTCCACATAATCCAACATCTTTCGGTCCTTAAGAACCTCCTTCTAGACTTTTTGAATGATCATCAGCAAATTTTTAAAGACAGAGCCGTGGGAAAAGTCATGGAAACAAAATCTCACTCATGAGAACAGAAACTAGAACAAGTTTTCATTCATGCTTATACCAATGTTAGCTAACTTCACAGCTTCTCATTGCCAAACCTTATTCCATTCATTGGTCTAGTCTGTACAAAGAGAATTAAAGAAGGAGGAAAATGTTGCCCAGAGAGTTTGTAAAGTCTCCGTCCTTAGTTATATTAAAAACCCAACTGAACATAGCCTTAAGCAATCTGCTCTTCAGGAAGGTTGTAGTACATGATCTCCAGAGGTCCATTCCTACCTCAGCCATTATGGGAATCAATGTAAAGGTTTGAAGTGCTCTGCAGCCTCTTAGGCTACACTTAGGCAAGGTAACCATTCCAACCTAAAAATAACTCATGAGGCTGTACGGTGGGCACGCAGGATCGTAGTCGCAAGGACTACCCACAGATTTTTAAAAACAAGATGATTATACTGCATGCTGAGGATGAAAAAAAATGCCTTTGGAAAAAGAACTCCCATTGCCATAAATGGGACAATATTTCAATTTGAGAATCGTGCCAGCTGTACATGTAATGGAAAACGTTTATTAATCTGAAACTCCAAGTGAAGACTGATCTCCTAAATCTGCAAGAATTAAGTTTCTCATTTTTCCCCACAGGTCTAGCGCTCATGCACCTGGCACGGTACATTACTATTACATGGAGGAACTAGGAGGCAACTTCACTGGCACTCGATTAGAGGTGGGATACTTGAAATGGGACTGTATAATCTATGTTCTTTGTGCAGAATAAACTGCAGTAATTAGAAATAAAAGGAACATATGCACTTACTGACTAATGAACACACTTTTGTGTTAAAAAAACGCATTTAGACAAAAGAACGTAGAGCCACTCAATTTCACTATATCAGAGGAAGGAAGGTCTGAACAAATATTTTGAAATATGCCTCAAACTCCACAACGTTATTTAATAATCCTTCTCATTGGCTGTAAGTAACTACCTATTTGGACTCTCACAAGATGACATGTAAATCAAGATGTTTATATCCAATGAAAACATGGAAGTTGTAATATTTTATGTTAAATTGTAATAGAGCTTTTTAAGGCTTGAATCAAGAGTATTGTGGGATTTTTTTGTCTTGTGTTTTTTCTTTACTTGCAGTTGGGAGCTATTTTACTATCACAATAGAACTACCACCGTGAATTAGAGCAGAGATTCCAATCATGGCTTCCCAAACTTTTAGACCCAGAGGGAGCTCTCATCCACTTGCATTTCTACTTTTCATGCTCCATTTAAATTAATGTTCTGCTCTCTGCAGAAACACTGCGTGAGACTCTCCCAACTACATCACCTGTTACATATACTCGAAGCAAATCATTACAAGCAGACACAGGTTTACTCTCTGTCTCCCACAATGCATTTTTTGTTTGATTTTTGTTGGTTTGTAAGGGTTTTTTTAGTCTGGGGGAAAGTTTGGTTGGGAATTTTTGCTTCTTATTGGTTTTGTGTATGTTCTCTAAAAAAAGAATACCTATGCAGCATTTTCTCCTGAAGCATATGGAACACTCCAGTGCAGGATCTTTCAAGGCACATATGCAATTGGAGAGGCTTAATATATTAGTTTATATTAATATTATATTAATATAATATTAATATAATATTATATAATATTAATTATATAATATAATTATATAATATTAATATAACTGAATCACTTGTAGAATTATTAGTAACTTCTAACATTCCCGGTTAGATTGACTCTTCTAGTTTATCATCAGCAGGGAAGTGTTAAAGCTTAGACGCTAAGCTATTTCTCTTAAAAGCTTAAAATTGAAAGTTACCTGAGCATAATGTAAAAGTTTCTCTGTCGCATCAGGATCTTTGTTCCAGATTAGATTCTCACACAGCTGTAGCAGTTCCTTGTGGATATCATCATACACTGGCAGATTCCCAGCATTCACAATTCCCATGTCCATGCCACACTGAAATAAGCCAAACAAAACCCCCCAACCAGGGCTGTCAGAAATAGCACTGCATTTCTGCAATGCACAAACATCTAGAAGTCTTACATAAATATCATACCTTAATTGCATGGTAAAGGAACACCCCATGCATTGCTTCTCGAATGGCGTCCATTCCTCGAAAGGAGAAAGACAGATTGGAAAGACCTCCACTTATCCTGGCTCCTGGAAGAGTTTCCTATAGGAATTGCACATCGATTTTTAGAAAAGTACTTTCCAAAACAAAGGCCTAAACAAAGCATTCACTCTATAACACAAGTTATGGCCTGAAGTTGTGCCAGGGGAAGTTTAGACCAGGTATTAGAAAGAATTTATTTATTGAAAGAGTGGTTGAACATTGGAACAGGCTGCCCAGGAAGGTGGTGGAGTCACCATCCTTGGAAGTGTTTAAAAGCAATATAAATGTAGTGCTTAGGGACATGACTTAAGCACTGAGTGGGTACATTATGTTATGGTTGGTGGATTTAGGTTGTAGTTGGACGTGATGATCTTCAAGGTCCTTTCCAACCAGGATGATTCTGTGAAGTTGGCCCCCCAAGCTGTGGTGCATTGGCTTTGCACTCTTTCACTCTTCCCTATTTCAGATCCTTCTGTTACTCAAATTCATAAAAAACAGAAGACTGGATACTCTCTAAGAATGAAATCTTCTAGGTGCAGAAGCTGGAGTCTCTGTGTGCTGAAAGATGGGCTGGTGGAGAAGACAGGTGGGAGTCAGGCAAAAAAAGAAAGATTTATGGCCTTTGGAAGAAGTGGAAAAGGACCTTTGGGTGTTGATTGGTAGCCAGTTGAGTATGAGCCAGCAGTGTGCCCAGGTGGCCAAAGAGGCTAACAGCACCCTGGCTTGTATCAGAAACAGTTTGGCCAGCAGGACTAAGGAAGTGATTGTGCCCCTGTACTCAGCACTAGTGAGGCCACATCTCAAATACTGTGTTCAGTTTTGAGCCCCTCACTACAAGAAGCACATTGACAATGACAATTTTTATCTCTGTAGAAAAAGATACAAGGAAAGATTCAGCCTAGTCATATGTAAGCAACTGCCATGGTTTCCAGGGTCATAGGTGCAATCCTAAACATATCAGTTCTCCCACAACACCCCTTCCACATTTCCCCTGTGCAAACCTACTTATGGCTCTTTCATCCATCACTGCTCTGCAAAAAACATCAGTCAACCTGCCTTGCTTGCCTGTCTCAGGAGCAGGCTTCAGCTGAGCAGCTGACCTCAAGGGTGCACCCTCTCTTTCAGAAGCCCTTTGGTGCCAAAATTGCCTGTAGGGTGTTAAAACCAGACTGCTATTGACAGAGCATCTACAGACCAATCAAGTTGTCTTGTGAAACACAACAGTGTGGCTACCTTGGCTGTATTCAGGTGATGTTCTTCACTGCTGTACTTCCTTCAACATATTTTTGTCTAAATAAAAAGTCACGTTCCAGCACAAATCCCTTCCACAGTAGCAGAATTTTATTGCTTTTAAGTGGTAGCTTTCATGTACCTTCAAAGAGGCCGTTTTAGCTAGAACGTGAATATTATTGTTACCTCGTTTAAATTAATAAAGGACATCTACAGTATAGATAATGGATTGAAATTTATTTATATAATTATTCAAAGTTCTACTGGAAATACAGCAATATTGGGGAATTGCTGCACTTGAAAGAAACAGTCTTAATTTGTTCATTTAAAATGTGTATAATTTTGCAATAGTGTTTTGTTGTTGTAGGCTGGGATGGGCAGTGTTTTCATGTTTTGTGATGGTTTGGCTTTTTAAGTAATCTCAGCAAAATACTTCCAGCTAAAATAAGCCTGTAACTTACTTTTATGGTTTTAGTAGCATTGATAAAATTAATGGCATATAGGTTATGTTCTTCCATTCCAGTTCCTATGGTCAAGATGTTAGGGTCAAATATTATATCATTTGGATTGAAGAGCACTTCATCCACAAGGAGGTGATACGCTCTGGAGCAGATTGCAATCTTGGTTTCTGTCTCTGTTGCCTAACAGAGAAATATAATTCTGACATGAAACTTACAACAACACAGAAAATAAACTCTCCAGAAATAATTTAGTTTTAGTGACTCAAAACTAAGAATCTTAACAGCATTAATATTAGAAGAGGACTATATAAGAATTTTGTATTAAAAATATAACCACAATTATTCCTGGAGATTTGGCTCAACTCATTAAAAACCAATTCTGTTCCCCAACACTTCACCATGCTATGCAAAGTTAAATATGTGCTTTCTGACATAACTAAATTAATTCACAAAGATTCCACCCTTATGAAAAACTCAAATTTCTGAACTAAAAAACATCTTCTGTGAAGAAATTCAATATGCATGAACAGCAGGAAACATGCTCTTGTGCTAGCAGCGCTACACTTACAGCAGTACTTGGATTCCCCAAATAAGTGAGCACCATAAGAAATGCTTACGTATGAGGGTCAAAACTACTGCCAGCACCATATACACCTCTTTGAATCAGCTCTGTCAATGAAACAAAAAAACTCTGCTTTGCACAAGAGCAAGAAAGACTTGCACTCAAGAAGAAAAATACCTGTCCTTTATAGTGACACTTACCTGCCCCATTTCATCAAAAGCCATGACAACCACAGCTGCTCCATACAACTTTATTTTCCTTGCTTTCTCCAAAAAGTCTTCCTCTCCTTCCTTCAGACTGATGCTGTTTACAATGCATTTCCCTTGGCAACATTTCAAACCTGCTTCAATCACTGAAAAATTTGAGGAGTCAATGCATAATGGCACCTGCAAGTAACAGAAGTAAACCAGGGGAATACACAGAAGTTATGAATCAGAGTTCCACATGTTCTTTGCCCATTTGGACATAAAAATGCATACATTAATCAATATTTATTAAGTCTCCAGATGGTATTTGTAGATTCACTTTGCTTTAAATGTAAAAGTTAGAGCAAATTTAACTCAATAGCTTCTATGGCAACCCCATCACATTTCATGTAGAGACCTCTATTTCTCCCTGTTTTGTCTTGGGTTTCTGAATGACATACTCATTTTCAGATAATGCACTTTGCTGAAGTATCTTTTAAAACAATCCTATATCCATAGCTATTTTAAGTTTTGTGGAAAGCAATACCATTATTCACTGCCAATATACAGATTTTTGTTCCTGCAAAATGAACCTGTGTTCAGCTTTTCTAACCAACCAGAAGAACTGGCCTCTATTCATCCAAAATCAGACAGAGAATGTTAAAAGCTGTTTCCCTCAAATGCCTTCCCTATTGTAGTACCTTTTTCTCTTGGGGGACATATACATCTACTTATTAAGCACCTAAACTGATTAAATAAGACAATATCAAAATTTTCTGAAAGGCAATTTCCAACTCAATAAAGTGTTCTCTATTGTGCTATGGAGTGACTCAATTACAACCTTTGCAATATCAGGTTCTGAAGAAATCAAGTTGCAAAATCTGGTCATTGCAGCAGGGCCATCCAGCATCCCATCATCCATATTGATGTCAAGAACCTGGGCCCCCATCTCAACTTGCAACTTGGCTACGCTCAGGGCTTCCTAAAGAAGAATGTCAAAAATCAAAACAACAGTTAGTAGAAAAAAGCCTAGTCATTATCAGGATAACATTTCACTTCTCCAAAATAAGCATGCATCAAACAATTTACAAATGTGTAAGACATTCCCTAAGAGAATAAGGAAAAAGTTCGTGATGTACAACATACAGAAGTTGCTAGTATGGCACAAATGGTAGTTAACTTGTTCACAAAAACATGACACCAGCAAGCTAATGTGTCAGTAGTGACATGGATTTTAGACTGTTGGTCATATGCTTAACTGAATTTAAGCTTTGTATAGTAACAAGGACTTCTGACTTCACAAGATTACAGGAAAGCACTGTTTGTGATGGTATGAAAAGGGTCTTGCATCACAAGCTCTGCCATTTTATAACACAGAGTACTTAATTTTTTGAGTTTGTTCAGCATTTTTTCCAACTGCAGAGTAATAGCCAAGTGCTAAAAAGGAAATAGTACAGTTTTCTTTCCTGCCCACATCATTATCTGAACACCCATGTGTGTTTGCCTTCTCTTTTTTGTCACTATGCAGACTGAGCAGACAAAAAAGAAAAAGATTTTCAGTTGCTCATAGTCCCTAACAATCTGTCTCTATTTAGTACGTCTAACCTGCTATATGACTTCAAAGAACTTATGAGTCAGACTTCCTAAAAAACAAACCAATGATTTAGTTTTGATTTTATCAACTAGAACAGCAGAGCACACTCTGGGGCAGAGTCTCAGCTCTCAAGAAACGTCACTTTACTATTTGTTTGAATGTCATAGTAACAATTTACATCAGTAAAGAATGAGCCCTCCAGCCTTTTAATTACTTTCTAGGCAACTTTCCTGTAGCAACTCTCATGTAGCAGGCTGGAGCTAGTGATCAAAGTATACAAAGATTAGACGCAATCATAATGCTTACCAGGTCTGGAGAAGGGAGGGAAAGAGAGTGAGGGCTACACAGTGGTCCAATCTATCCCAATGCTGGAAGGAGGGATTACAACACCTTTCCTTCCTCCCTTCTCTGTAAATCCACTCCCAGATATAGCACAGAGCAGGACACTTTATAAACCATCATCAGTTGTGTAACTTAATTAAAAAATGCAAAGTTAAGTTTCCTGTAACTTGTCAGAAGTTAAAGGAAAAAAATCAAAAAGCCCTTGTAACCTTTCTCATAAAATTATTAGGAGCTGGTAAGAACAGTAACAAATGGTAGCGAGGAAGTAAATTCTCCTTGTTTTCTTACTCTTGTAACACGTAGAGTAGTGCTTTGTGCCAGTAAAACAATTAACAACACAGTGCAATGAAGCAATGGAAAATTGGAGTCTTAGCTACAACAATTATTGTTAAAATGTATACTTCATAGTTGCCTGCCATGATGAGTTTAGCAAACTTCCGTGATCCTGCAACATTGCAGCGTTCACCAATATTAACAAAGTTGGTGTATGGCCCAATCCTGAATGGCTCCAGACCTTAAAAAGATATTTTTAAACATAATTGTAAAAACAGAAAAGAAAGCACTGTATAAAACAGACAAAAGCCCTTTTCTAAACTGTGAAATAGAGGTGTCTATCTCTGTAAGAATTGTGATTTCTCAGCACAGCAGGATGTGCACAAATTTAGTGAGTAATCAGAAAAGAAATGCAATGAAACAACTGCCAACACACATCACAGGTTTCTATCCTTCCTCAATGAGAGTCAATAATTTACTCGACCCACAAGAAGTAACAGCCAATCTGTTCAATATAAAATGATGTGAAGCTAAAACTCTCTGGGCATCTATATGTATGCACATACATGCACACCTTCTCTCAACCTCCAACTACATTATCTCATGACTCTCCCACCACCAGAGAAGAAGCCCACTGAATTGACTGACAATGTCAGCTCTTAACCATGTACCCAAGTTCAGAGAAATGAGCCAAGTGGGACCTCTGTGCAGTAGGCAACTCAGAGGCAAATCTTATCAAAGACCAGAATAAGGTAATGCAGGAAAGCACAGGCCAATCATTATTTATTTAATTTACGCTACATTGATTTGACTTTGAGATTAAAATAGCAGCCCAAAAACAAGGTACTGTCTTACTTGAGTATGTGTTCCAAAGGCTTAAAAGGCCTGGTTGAGAAACACACAGACCAAGACTTTGCTAATACAAACTATGTTTTAGACCTGCATGAATTGTTGGAACACTTTTCTAGTATGACTGGATTAACATCTGAGGCAACATAGGCCAGTTGTCTCACAGCAGGTGAACAGAGATATTATCTCAGCTTTGCCATCCATTGAAGTAAAATTATTTGATGTCTCCGTGTTTAACCCTCTCTTGTTCCAAACTGAGGATAAAGATACTTACTCACCATTACAAAGTGACTGAGACGTGCAGAGTAAAATATACTGGCTTGATTACATTACACAAGATTGTAATAAAACACTCCATTAATTATTTGGCCATAGCAGTAAGATTAAGATCTGGTTACACATCCATATGCTTGCTGGATTTGGGTAGAACCAGAAACTCATAGTACTGTTCTGATCAGCAGAAAACAGCAAATAAATTTATCAAGTAAGATTACATGAGTTATAGAGGACGATTACATGAGTTATAAAGCTCAAATTGTTACACTCCATTTTACCTGACAGCAGCATATATCCTTGAGAAAGAGAGGGTGGAATGCGAGGCTTACAGAATTTCACAGCTTCGGCAATTTTCCTGAGTTACAAAAAGAGGAAAGTAAAGAGCAGAGCTTACAGTTCAAATTAAACCACTCCAGACAAGACTCAAACAGAACATACCAGACATATATCTGCATCTCTAATTTCACCCTGTAGCAGACAAGACTAACTAACCTGTTTCACTTTGCACAGCGAAAGGCAAAAACATCCTCCCAGAAGATTCTGTAGTAGCTACTTGCAAGGAATGTACAAAGCTAAAGATTTATCAAATACAGAATGTGAGATACTATGCCAATGAGATACTTGATGAATATCAGAACCACTCCTCAACCACACAGCCTCTTACCATATTAATGATTTGCTGAGCTTAGCAATTGCTGATTGCAGCAAAAGAGCCAAGTGACAACCGTTGTGCTGAAATGCATTTCTCAGATGCTGGAATGACTCATGGTGTTCACTTCCATTTTCTCTTCGTGCCAGTTAGGAGCAACACACAGTGTTCTCTATGTGGTCACTTATCACCTCTTCCCAGTTTGTATCAGGGTAAAATTAATCACTAGGCCCCCTTCTCTTTTGAGCCAGGTGAAAAAGGGAGGTTTTCCCATTTATCTTCTTCCAGGGAGAAAGATATGAAACCCTCCTTCTGACCAGCCAAGACTAGCACCAGCTGTACAACTTACCCAGATCTCCTCTTCAGATATTGTCTCCCCACATTCACATACTCTCCCTCCTTCTACCATCAAATGAAATTTCAAGTTTCACCTTGTGGCAAAGAGAGCCAGAAAGAAAAAGAATGTATGGCAAAAGTGAGCAGAAATGTGAAGTCTACTCTATCTATCAAGAGGGAGGAGTAATTACAAAATTATTTCAGATGACAAAACAGCACAGGTACAATCTTTGTTTGAACCGTGCCTCTACTCATTCTTCACAATACACATGACTATGAAAGCGAAGTTATTTCTACTCCATATATTGCTGCTATTGGCATTCAAGTGATCCTCCTCTTCTGGAAACTAAGACAAACCATGAAATATTGCTTCACAAAGGCCGCACTTAATTTACTTCCCAGTGCACCTTAAGTTGTATTGCATGCGGTACCTGATATGTGCTGGTGTAGTACCACAGCAACCTCCAACTATGTTGACCAAACCATCCAAAGCAAAATTCTGTAAAAGGGAGGGAAATATAATTTAGTTTCAAGTTAATGAAAGGTATTTTTATGTGTATATATATATATATAAATCTATTTCAATTCAGGGAGCTCACAAGAAAAACATTACATTAAAAAACATCTGTACTATTACTTTAGGATTCGTTTTGAGATTTCCAAGGCTAACCAGCAATTTCAACACCTAATTTTCATAGAATCATAGAATCATAGAATCTTAGGGGCTGGAAGGGACCTCGAGAGATCATCTAGTCCAACCCCCCTGCCAGAGCAGGGTCACCTAGAGTACATCACACAGGAACTCATCCAGGTGGGTTTTGAATGTCTCCAGTGAGGGAGACTCCACAACCTCCCTGGGCAGTCTGTTCCAGTGCTCTGTCACTCTCACAGTAAAAAAATTTTTTCGGATATTCACCTTGAACCTCCTATGCTCCAATTTACACCCATTACCCCTTGTCCTATCACTGGTCATCACCGAGAAAAGCCTAACTCCGTCCCCCTGACACTCACCCCTTACATATTTGTAAACATTGATGAGGTCACCCCTCAGTCTCCTTTTCTCCAAGCTAAAGAGACCCAGCTCCCTCAGCCTTTCCTCATAAGGGAGATGTTCCACTCCCCTAATCATCTTCGTAGCTCTGCGCTGGACTCTTTCGAGCAGTTCCCTGTCCTTTTTGAACTGAGGGGCCCAGAACTGGACACAATACTCCAGATGTGGCCTCACCAATGCAGAATAGAGGGGGAGGAGAACCTCTCTTGACCTACTAACCACACCCTTTCTAATGCACCCCAGGATGCCATTGGCCTTCTTGGCCACAAGGGCACATTGCTGGCTCATGGTCATCCTCCTGTCTACCAGGACCCCCAGGTCTCTTTCACCTACACTACTCTCCAGCAGTTCAGCCCCCAACCTGTACTGGGACATGGTGTTGTTCTTCCCCAAATGTAAAACTCTGCACTTCCCCTTGTTGAATTTCATCATGTTTCTCCCCGCCCAACTCTCCAACCTATCTAAGTCTCTCTGAATGGCAGCACAGCCTTCTGGTGTGTCAGCCACTCCTCCCAGCTTAGTGTCATCAGCAAACTTGCTGAGGGTACATTCTATACCCTCATCCAGGTCGTTGATGAAGATGTTGAACAACACCGGTCCCAGCACCGACCCTTGTGGGACTCCACTAGTAACACACCTCCAACCAGATTCTACCCCATTGACTACAACTCTCTGACTCCTTCCTTTCAACCAGTTCCTAATCCACCTCACTTCCTGGTCACCAAACCCATACCTGATCAACTTATCCACAAGGATGCTGTGGGAGACGGTGTCAAATGCTTTACTGAAATCAAGATAAACCACATCTACCGCTCTACCATCATCTATCCACCTAGTAATTTCCTCATAGAAGGCTATGAGGTTAGTCAAACATGATTTACCCTTGATAAAACCATGCTGACTGCTCTTGATGACCCCCATGTCCTTGATGTGCCTGGAGATAGTCACAAGAACAAGTTGTTCCATCACCTTTCCAGGGATGGAGGTGAGGCTGACCGGTCTATAGTTACCCGGGTCCTCCTTCTTGCCCTTCTTGTAGACTGGAGTGACATTTGCTATCCTCCAGTCCTCAGGCACCTCACCTGTTGCCCATGATTTACTGAAGATGATGGAGAGTGGCCTAGCAATGACCTCCGCCAGCTCCCTCAGCACCCTTGGGTGCATTCCATCTGGACCCATTGATTTATGGATGTCCAGATTACTCAACTGATCCCTAACCCAATCCTCATCTACCATGTCAAACTCTTCCTCTATCTTGACTTCTTCTGGGGCTATATGAATCTGGGGCTCATAGGGAGACCCTGCAGGAGTGAAGACAGAGGCAAAGAAGGCATTCAGCACCTCTGCCTTCTTTATATCCTCTGTCACCAGGGCTCCCACCTCATTCCTCAATGGGCCAATATTGCCTCTATTGCTAGTTTTGCTAGCTATGTACTTGAAAAAGCCCTTTCTATTATCCTTAACCTGACTTGCAAGGTTAAGTTCCAAGGAGGCCTTAGCTTTCCTAATTGCCTCCCTACATCCTCTGACAACAGTCCTATATTCCTCCCACGTGACCAGCCCCTCCTTCCATGATCTGTAGATTTTCCTTTTCCACTTAAGTTTGCCCAGTAGTTCCTTCTTTAACCATGCAGGTCTCCTAGCACCCTTACTAGATTTCCTAACCATTGGGACGCTCTGATCCTGTGCTTGCAAGAAGTGGTCCTTGAATGTTGACCAGCTATCTTGAGCTCCTTTATCTTCTAGCACCCTGTCCCATGGGATTTCCCTTAATAGATGATTGACGAGACCAATAGATGATTGAGGAGACCATTTTAATTTTAGGAAACTACATTTGACACTGGCCTAATTTTATACTGAAGCCCCAGAAGAAAAGACTAGTCATAGTGTAGTATAAAAGGGAATTAATATGCAGCAGATACTGTCTCCTTACTGACACACTGCAGCTTTGGCCACGGAGCTCTATCTCGCACAGATCAAGTGGCACATGGAAGGACACCCTGCACTGCAATACTACCACCACCAGCAGTGGCTATACACACAACTCCGTAAAATTCTGCTAATTCATACAAAGTGACTTTTCAGGCATTCCTAAATGTAAAAGTAAGAATACAGGAGTGTATATGAGTAACATCCACAGATCAAGCTGCAGGAAATCTATTTAGTGTAGGACAGGAAAGCAATTAAGATTTTCAGAGTTTCATAAGTAGTTCTTCCTAACCTTGAAAAGCACTATCGTTCAGCAAATTGTCTATAAACAATAGTCATCTGAGGAAAAACCCACATCACAGTACTGTAATAAATACACATAAAACACAAGCAAAGAATTCTTATCTACAAGTATCTCAGATATGACACATTCACAAGAAATTTCGTACCTTTATATGTTTGGCAGTTACTTCTGGAGTTTCATCATAACCACCAAAAGTATTAGGAAGACCTTGAAAAACAATGTATCTAGTATTATTATTTGTTTGAAGCCCACAACACAGTATTAAATTCCATAAAATATGTATTTAAATTAGACACACTTGTATGAGGATTAAAATGCCTCATCACCCATGCAAGAAAGCATTCTGGGTTCACTGTCACAGAGCTAACAGAAGTTACTTTCAGGAGTTTAAGCTATTATTAACCTATTTCTAATACTAAAAACAACCATATTTTCAAGCTAATTCAACTTTATTGCTGCTAACAAGATGGAAGGATTTAGTTACATTTTGTCTGCCTGTAAGCACAGAAACACATGTGCACACACACCTGCATTGGGGTAACAGATGATGTAGGCTGTTGTACATTTTCCAATTGTTTCAATGAACGGTCGCATTTCAACTGCCCCTAATGCACAATTTAAGCCGATACTGGAAAATAAATTTTCAAAAGACATTTTAAGCTTTAAACACCCTTCACATACAAAACAGATGAATGTTAGTGCTGGTAACTGCTAATGGTCACAATCATCTACAACAAAACCAACCTGATCTCCAATTTCTTTAATCACCATCATCAACGCAGCAAGGCTGTGCAAAAGGAGAACCCTCAGGTGGAAGAAAAGTGCAAGAGGGAAGGGGACTGAATGGAATTGAACTGGGAAGAGTAAATCAAGATTTCATTTCAAAATCCAGGAAGAAAAGTGGCAGCATTTTAACAGCAACTGCAGCAACACGGTGGCTCTGTATTTTCTAGGTGAGAGAGAGAACAAGTGGAATGAGAATGACAGATTGGAAAGAAGGCTTGTACTACAGGAAGAAGTATGAAAATTGTTGAAAGAATAAGACCTGCTTTAAGCTGCTAACTGATAATTTTCTTTTAAAATTACACATAAATTAGGTTAGTCTTCCAAAAACCACATGTCTTCCCCAAGGTGCCTCAGAGCAGCACTTGGACAACTGCTTGTCCAGCAGTTTCTTGGGCAACTGACTCTGGTACATCTTAGTAACCTAGACAGCACCATAGCACAAGTTTTTTTCAGGTTTTTTGGGGTGGGGGAAGCATACGTTTGTTTTTTCAAACAGCCAGCTCTACCTTCAATGTGCTTTTTCTAATGCATCTCATATGGGTCATTCTACTTAAACAGGAAAACTTTAAAATAATCCTTTCGTTCTCATTTCACTATTCAGTGTAAACCCACATTGAAATCCTTCATGCAGATCCCCTGGATCTGAATGCACAATTACAGCAATGAGGTTCTGGAGTTTCCTTCAAAGTGGGGGCTTATCCCTCAGGATTTTCAAAGCAAAGCAAGGTAAGAGTTGTTAACAAAACTCTCCTGAGCAAATGCAGATGAATACAAGATATTTATTACCTTTAAGTAATTCAATTAATAAGCTTCCAGCTCACACTTCCCAGCCCCTCTTTTTAAGCTCTCTCCTGTATTAGGAAGCTTCACTTCCCTTTTCTACAGTTAATATCAATTTCTGATTCTGAGTACAAATTTACCTGGCACTCTCTTTACCTCACCTGGGCAGAGAGATACTGTAAAAGCAGCCAGTATACTCACCAAACAAGCACTTCTTGATGTTATCACTTGACTTGCTGGGTACTGGCCCTCCAGACTGAATAATTTCCCACAACACTGAGCATTTCCCACTGACAAATACATCTATAAGCATGACACCACCCAAGAGTTACCTCTTTCAAAACTGCCACATTAATCTAATCTCAGACACACACATTCATTCAGAAACAAAAAGTAGCTCCTGTGGCCAGTATTCCCCCTGATACTCAACAGTATCATGAAAAAAAACCTTTGAGAAAAGCAAATTGTTAACCATACCTCAAAAGTCAGCAGCCTTGAACCAGATTGCTGGTATGCTATCACTGCTACTCTAGTGTAAAAGCCATCACATTCTCATCTTGGAACAACACTTCACTCCCTTGCTCATTTCTTCACAGCAGTCACGCATCAGCTCCAGTAAAAGCTGTGGCTGCAGAGTGCCCTTGGGACCAGAACCAACACCACGAGGGCCCTAAACTCAGTGCACGTCTTAACACTACCACAATAGAAACAATCACAGGAGCCAAAATGACACAAAAGGAACTCACGCCACATCTGAGCACCTTTCATAGCAAGCAGCTTGCCACACAGCTTTCAGAACTTCCTAAGCATAATTCCCTGGTTCCTCAGCTACCATCTGTACCAACCAGACAAAAAGTGCACACTCTCTACAGGGGGATCCAAACCAAACTGACTTAAGGACAATTTATCACCCTAAGCAGGACATATAAAAGCCAAATGAAAACAGGTGAACACATATAACATGATCCCTAGGATACTACTGCTAATCAGCTTTTTTGCAACCCTATGGCCACTCTATACCAACCCAGCAGCAACAACATTAAATGCAATCTGTTCCCACAACCAAAACCCTTCTGCCACTGTGCTGTAGAGTACCCTTTGCATAAATGGGAAAAAGGCCCTAAGCATTCAGACCAATTAGATAGCGTTTAGGAAATATGGCTTAATAAATTCTTGATTTCTGCTCCAGTGCCTGTCTCTCCTCTTCAGAGGCAAGAGTTACAAGCAAAATTATCTGAGACAGACTCATGCCAAATATGGATCACTAGGCTGTGATGCTGAGAGAAGGAGTCAACTACCACCCTGTTCCAAGAGGCTCCATATGTCACTTCTGGAGCACCATCTGCTCTGGGGAAGTGGAGCCTCAGGGACAGTCAGGAAAACTGTGGATGCAGTCTTCTGCTTTTGTATTACTGACATGACAGACTATGTTTTAGGTGGAATTTTCTTGTAAAAACAAACAATAGCTCACCACAATGTGCATTGCATGCACTCCTAACAGAGAATTACATTTTAAGTTAAAATATTCTAGGAAAAAGACATATATTTCCAGTGTAAATTTCTGTTTGAAGAACAAGAATGAAGAAATGGTAAAGAGGGAAGAGGAAGCAAGGACGAAGTAGAACAGGGCATCAAAACTCAGAAAAACAGAGAAACATGGAAGGGTATCCATAATTGCACAGTTACCAAAATCTGTTGTATTAAGCATTTTCACAGATTATAATCCCATACTTAGTTCAAATTCCTTGCCTGAACAGAAAAGAATGCAAGTAAATGGAGGTATCAGGAGCTCTCAAAACACCAATGCACATCCTTGAGAAAAACACTAAGGGAAATATATACATTTTTGTAAGAGTTCAATAAAAAGAATACTGCGATGAAATCATATTATTTGCTCTTTCAGGGCACCCTGAAACATTCTGGGCTAGCACTGCTTCCCTCTAAGAAAGAGATGTAAGCCCTGCCCATACCATGAATTAGCTACTTGCATAATCTGAGACAACAGGAGAAGGCTACACTTTCAGAATTTTTTTTTAATGCTTTGACCTCACTGTGATTTCAGCAGCTGATGTAAATACAAAACCACAGATTATTTAGAGCAATGTTTTAAAAATTCAATGTTCTTTGGAAACACAGTTTCTACTGAGAAAATGACAGCAGAGGATATTAGCAATATATGTGATTAAATATTATTACAGTTAGTATACCTTCCATTGAGCTGCAAGTAAGGGGTCAAAACAGAAAAGAATCACAATATACAGATAACCTACTAAGAGAAAGATACATTTCCTTACCAAAGTGGCTTACTGTGGGAAATACTAATGACAAATGCCTCTCCTGTCTGCCCTGAGAGGGTACGCCCACTCTTATCCACAATGGTTCCAGAAACCTAAGTATCAATTCAACATGGAGAAAGGAGAAGTAAATTAACAATAAACACAATAATTTAAATGGCTGAACTACTGAAAGTCAAAGCAGAGGGACCTGTGCTGCACTCAAAAGTGATGAGGCACAACCCAAACACAAAAATCAAACCTTTATCTTGCTATAAATATTTAAATATTTTAGCTAGGGGAAAAGGGAAACCTTTGACCATTCTTTTTCTCAATCTCCACCCACTTGAGGGGGGGAGCGCAAACCACCAGAAAACTACCATGAACCAGCCATTCAGCAGCAAGGTAGTGTAACATGTTAGTACCACAGTATCATTCTGATTACAGCTTCTGAATCAATCTGCAGTGGTTACCTGTTTAAGCAGCTATCGGCAGTCACAGCTCCTGTCCCATCCCACTCATCCTCCCTCCCCCTTTATGTTATTTCAGGTCTCACAACTGGCTGGTTGGTCGTGGTTGGGGGGCGAGAGGGGGTAGGAGAAAGGTGGGGCTGGCCTTAAAAACAAGTTCTTCGCTTTGCCACAAGGGAACATCAGATGCTGCAAGTTCATTGTGGAGATCAAGTCTTAACCTGTATAATCATACCTCTTAAGTATTATACACAGAGAGATGTGCAAATAATAAATAAAATCTTAATCCCAACTAACAACTGTAAAGTGGAGAATTCAGGAAACATGTGAATGAGCCAGGAAAGCCTTCCAAAGCCTACCATTCTTTTTTATAGAAGATGAGTTTAGAAAACCCCATGCAAAGGTAAATCCATTATTTACTCCAGAACTACCTTTAACGTTGATACTAGTTCCCTTCAAATTACTCAGTCAAGGGAAGTGACCAGTGGAGTTCTAGAGAGCTGTGCTAAAGGCTGTACTTCTCAATATAACTGAATTGGAAAGGGAGCAGAGAATGAGGCAGCTAAGCTCACTGATCACACTCTTCAGGACAATGAAGACAAAAAGCAAACTCTACGTAATCAGATAACTTTCAATGCTAACTGACTCAAATGATAAAAAGGTGGGCACTCAGTGCTGATCAACTACAAAGTTGTGAACATAAGAAAAATTCTACATAATGACACCTCCAAGCCAGTCTTTATTGCTTAAGAAAATAATCTGAGTAACAAAAGTAAGTTTTATGAATGCAATTTCAAAGCTCACTAGCAGTAAAGTAAAATGTCAGGAACTACAAAGAAAGAAACGGACAAGGCAGAGAACATCACCGGGCTATCATACAAATCCCTGATGTCTGCACTTTGACTGCTGTATGCTATTCTAACTCCCCCCTGACTCGAGGAAGCAGAAAACAAAAAGGTGACAAGAATAATGAATGAATGGTATAGAGCAGCTAAACAGACAAGGACTCTTCAGGATGAAAAAAAACTCGACTAAAGGAGGCTCTCACAGAGAGATGATCACAAAAGCCATGATCACACAGCACAGGGAAGGTGGAACAGTTGCTCTGCACTGTCACTTTCAAGAGACAAATAGCTAGACACAAAAGGAGTTCTCACTAGAAGTCCAAAAGTAAGCAAACTTTCAAACCAGCCCGTTCATAAACTGTCAAAGTTACTGACAGAGTATTTTGTAAATGCCTGGGTCCAAGGATTATAGGTCTGATTATAGATTCAAGGAAGGACTAAACAGATTCAACCGAAGGGTATGAGCAGATACAAACTACAAACCAGAAAGTCTGGGCTGCAAACTGCAGAAAACTGGAAGAATACACCAGAACTTTCAAAACAAGCTTATTCTTTTTCTATACTCATATCCTATGCATTCATGACTCCCAGCTGTCAGAAAGACATGTCAGAGAAAGAATATGGAATTAGACAGATCTTTTCTGACTTCAAATGGCCACCCATATTGTACTTGAAAAAATGGCAGAATTTGCTTAGTTTGATCCTTGAAGCACTGGATCTTATTACCCTTAGGACAGCAAGCCTGAAAAAAACCTCATGGTCAGACATTTCCTGTGGAAATACTCAGAATGAATACACAATGGAATGAAGTTATCCCTTAGTCTTCAGGTTGATAAGCTAGACACAGATATATCCACAGCTGATTTCATAAAGCTCTTTGCATAAGAAGGTTTTTTTCATAATAATGTGAAAAAGCACATTTCCAAGACACTTATTTATTTCAAAATGCTTTAATCAACTGCTATCTCAGCTAGATCCCAAATCAAGCTTAAGTATATGCAAAAAAAATAACTATTATATACTTACAAATATGGGTCGGGGAGCATATTCTTCCTTAAACAACGTCTGGAGTGCAAAAATAGCTGCCTGCAGAAGAATAAGTTGCAAAACATTAATGGACATTTCAAGAGTTCTTCAGTTTGTTGGTTTTGTTTGTGTGGTTTGGTGGCTGTTCATGCAACTTGCTACCTTGCTTGTGAGAACTTACTAAGGTTTTACCCTTACCCTTAACATATTCCAATGTTCCAGACACATCTGGTAACAAGTAGAAAGGAATTACCAAAAATGGTAGTCGGTAGAGCATAAGACTCTTAAATCTCAGGTTCATGGGTTCAAGCCCCACGTTGGGTGCCAATAAATTGTTGTCACCGTTTGACTCAGGTTCGACAACAGTGCTCTCGATCCCCTCCCCCACCCACCCAGGCAGGGAAGGAGAGAGAGAAAAAGAGAGAGACTTTACTGGATTGAAAACAAAACTACACAGCTTTAATTAAACACTAATGATAAAAGAAAATATATACAATTATATACAAGTGTGTTTGGGTATGTGCAAAAGCCTTTCGCCTCCCCCTACCCCAGCAACTCCCCCAGCACTCTACTTAGCTGCTGAAAAAAGCGGAGAGTGACAAGGGTCAGGAGAGCTTGAGCCTAAGGGTTAACGGTGATGGATGGACGGAGTCCTCCCTGGACACCGGCCATGGATAGAAGAGAAGGGAAGAAGCAGCAGGAAGGAAGTTGTCTTCTGTGATCTCTGACGTTCCTCTGAGCTTACATAGATATATGGAATGGAATATCTCTGGCCAATTTTGCTGTCTGTCTAACTCAGTCTTCTGTGGGGGAGTCATAGATCTCCCCGTAGTGTCTGAGCCAGAAGAGTAAAGGTGTGACCTTCACCAGTTAGCAAAACATTCCACTGTTATCAGTCTTAGTTGGAACACTCTGGTACTAGTTAAAAGAAAGCTTATTGAAGGAAAAAAAAAAAATCAGTAAAAGGAAAATTGGCTTCATCCTGGCTCAAACCAGGGCATTAACCAAATAAAACAACTATTCTGAATCCCAAAACTAAATCACTGTCTTTGAATTTGTTCAGACACACAGTTTGCAAAGGATTCTAACCATCGCAAATTTCAGCTGTAAGGACTGCAGTGACCCTTTGGAAGGCCCCTACTCCTTAGGGCACGAGAGCATGTGACCATGAGTTCAGCACCGTGTTAAACCAATAGGATCCTAGCCAAACCTTCGTGACGACTGGTCAAATCTGCAAAGGACAAGTCATGCCACTGCACACATTTATCAGCCTGTGGCAAAAAGCTGTGTGCATATCCAGCCAGACTTTTCCACATAAAATTGCAAGCACCCTAACGACTCCAGCACTTACATTAAGTAGTTACTAGATAAAGAAGGAGGTGTCAAAATCACATTAATTGTGGTATATTTCAAGATTGCATTCCTTCTATTTTACTCTTCTAATACTCTACTGCCAATTTTTATTTTTTTTAAAGCTGGTGGCAGAGTGTCAGACTTAAAAAAAAACCACCACATTTTTACAGGACCTTCTGACAAGTCTTCCCACGCATAAAATCAGATACACTGGACATTCCCTCTCCGGTGTGCATCAACAAGCATCCTATGGACAGAGATTCTTGCACTGAAAAATACAAACATCAGCTGCATTTGCAGATGTTTTCCAATACAGCAGAGCTTATGGGAATAAAAGGACAGCTGGCACAGACAGCCAGAAGGATATAAATGGCATAGAGTAAAAGGCAAAGGAAGGCCTCTGGAAAAGGTTGTTTTATCATTAAAAAACATCTCTTGTGTTCTACCTGTTTACTATTGACTGAAGAGTCTTCTCATGTGTTTAGTAAGCAGTAGCTGATAGCTGTTACAAGGTCTTACCAAGTTGAATTTCCCTAAGTAGTAAACCAAATACTTGTATTACTGTTTTCTTCTAGGAGTCTCACCTTTGCATTAGCTGTATCAAATATAGTTTCCACTAACAAGATATCAACTCCTCCATCCAAAAGTCCTTTGGCTTGTTCCTTATAGGCCTCAACCAGTTCATCAAAAGCTGTAAAACAGGAATTACAGTAATTTCACCTGGAGGTATCTCTTTCTAGACTATCACCTAAGTTAAATAACGTGATGGTTACAAATACTTACTTATGTTTCTGTAATCAGGTCTCTCCACAGATGGTGACACAGAGAGTGTCCTGTTTGTTGGACCCATGGCTCCAGCAACATATCTCCTGATTCCTAAACAAAGACACACAAGGCACGGATTGAAAAAAAGCCAAAGCCAAAACAAAACAAACAAAAAAACAAACAAACAAACAGAAATTTACCTCTGGTTTTACAATGACAGCCATGTCAATGTAAAAAACCTCCAAGGTCACCAAGACATGCCTATCATTCAGGGATAAAGAACTGTAAGAATCTTGTGTCTCAAATCAAGAGTTTGATCACCACAAGATTATTCAGCACAGCTCACTTTCTTATTTCACTCCTATCAAACACAATGCTCAGCATATACGCACAAGACAGAAGAACACGTACAAAAAAGGCAACTGGCTCAATTAAATTTTTTTCTCAGTATCATTAGTCTCTGACAGAAGCAGCTTCATTCAGTTACTTCAAATGCACAGCACAGACCTGTCCTGGCATTTTTCACTAGACAACCTGATTTGAATACTCTGGCATGTACTCATAAAAAAATCCAAAATACCAAAACCAAACAGGTTTTTAAAAGTGTATTTAAAATCTTACATTATTACGCTCCTTGTACAACATGCCTTCCAAACCCCTCACCAGCCTCATTGCTCTCCTCTGGACATGCTCCAGGACTTCAATGTCTTTCTTATACTGTGGCACCCAGAACTGAACACAGTCCTCAAGCTGTGGTCTCACCAGTGCCCAGTATAAGGGCATGATCACTTCCCTACTCCATGAATCCATGCTGGCTGGGTCTGATCTCCTGATCTCACCATTATCCTGCACTTGCCACATGAGTTGACC